TATATATATAACATTAAGTGGTATGCATAATTACCTTATTCATCAAAGACATGGTGGAATTCCCATAGTAATGCAAAGGACTCTTGAGGTCAGAAAAGTTGTATTTAAAACCAGCTAAGTGAACTTCATGGCATATATGGAATGCCAATGTGATGGCAATAATTCCTGTTGTTGGGTGTTTGGGTTTCTGGAGGGGAAATAAAAATTTTTTTAAAAAAGTCCAAGTGAATTACTTGTTTCCAAACATTTGAGTGGCCTAGTTTTATAAAATAATTTCTGAATAGTTAAGCAAATGAAAAATATTTAAACTCTCATATTCCAAGACTCAAAGCTCCAAATGGTATACCTAACACTGAAAAACATATAAACTGTAAATGAAATCTTAGAAATTCTTTTCAAATAAAACTTAGCTGAAATATTAGTTCAGGGGAGAATCATTAAAAGAAAAAACTGATGATAGAGCTCAGTGGTCCAGCACTGCCTAGAACTTGCATGGTCCTAGGTTCAAAGCCTAGTGCTGAAAAAAAGAAAGAGGGAGGAGACTTAAGGAAGAGAGTACTGCTGCAATATTTTTAAAAAACATGAATTGGGCACTTTATGGAAAAGCAAAGCCTGGGACGTTTGAGATGTATAAAATACAAGGACAACTGAATCTAATTGGTAATAGATAGCAGCATGATTACAAAAGAAAGCTTTGTATAAGCCTTAGATACCTAATTTTATTCTCGTAATAATTTAGCTCTAGAAAAGACTAAAAAGACAAGCATCCCTTTTCCCTTTTATATATCTTGAAAACCCATATAATAGGTATGTGACAGAACGTTCTTGGAATGCGAAATTGTTAATTCTCATTAAGATACCGTTCAAAGACAAAAGCTATCTCAAGCTTGTTAACAATTCAAGGATCCCATAGAAATTCACAATTATTTATGATTTTAAAGGGGAGCAGCACAATAAAATCAAGTGAACTTCAAGAGGCAATCTTCACTAAGAGCCTGACAGCCTTCAGCTTCCCCATAATCTTTCCTTTATCCCCCCCACAAAAACTCCACCACAATTCCTTGGCATCTACTAGAGAACAACTGATCCCATCGCTTTTTCCTTCTCCTTGCCCCTCTTTAGGCCTTTCATTTCTTCACACCTCAGAGTCCTTTGCCCATACTTACAAAGAACCCCTATGTTCATCTTCAGTTTTGCACCTGACACCCATAGAAGAGCCTTTCTAACCAGACAGATCTTTAAACCTGTTGAAACTTAATTTCCCAATCATACTGTACCTACAACTACGCAGCAGAATACACAAAGAGAAAAATATGTCTGCCTGGTCAAATGGTAAACATATGGTGGGCACTCTATGTCCAGCCAAAAGTTCCACTTGCCTGACAGATTTCCATTCCTACTCTCCACCATGGAAATTTTATAATTTTCTAGCCTCTAAATGCCTTGGTCTTCCTATTTTAAATTGACAACTCAATCCTTACTTTTCTATGAAAATGAAAGCAGTCAAAAAAGAACTATGTTACTTTCCCAACTACAAATCTACCATCTTACAAGCACCTCCACCCATATTTACAGTGTTCCCTCCTCTTAATGGGTGAGATATCCTTGTTTATGCCTATGGTCAATCCCTTCACTAATTTATATATACTAGCCATCTCTTCTCATCAGCTTTATTTCTACTTTCCACTTTCTCCCCTTGCCATAAAAATTTTCCTCCTGAATCAGTTTCTTCACACAAAAATGAAACAAATTTCTTTGATTCTATGTCATCTTCCAACTTTTGCTGACTTCTTGAGAATTTAATGCCAGCCTTTCTTTCTACCTACAGAAATATTTTTAGACCACCTTATTGGTTTCATTATTCCTTTGGCCTTCTTTGTGATACTTTTAACAGAGTGTGCTGTTTTTTGGAAGTGTACCCCCAAAGATCCATATATAAAAGCTGGGTCTTCAGGGTGGTACTATTAGGAGGTTTACCCTCAAAAGAGATTGTGGGACTCAGCTGACTTCCTCTTTCTGTTTTCAGGTTTGAAATGTGAGCACTCACTATGACATGCATAAGGATGTGCTATCATAACCAGAAGCCCAAAGCATGGAGCCTTTCAATCTTGGACTTTAATTCCAAAACTGAAACTAAACAAATTTTTCCTCTTAAGAAGGCTGTCCTCAGTATTTAATTGTAGTAATACAAAGCTTCCTAATACAGAATGCTTCAGACAGTTTTCCTTAGCCTAAAACCTATGCACTTGCCTCAAAATCTGTCCTGCTGCCCTGAAAACAAACCTACCCACCAGCGCACATAGCCTGATTCTGCTCATATAACACTTAAAATGAGTTTATAAGAGATGAGCCACTTGGACATAAAGAAAGAGACCCCATGAAGGCTGCACAAGGGCAAAAATCCCTCTGCTGAAGGTGGTTTTCCTCACAACATGAAAAACATGAAAGATAACAGCCACATCTAATTTTACATAACTCAGATGTAGCCCTCAGATACTACATCATAAGCCAAGATTCTTTAATAGGTTTTGAAAGCTCCAAAGACACTCTCTCTTACCTCAGCCAGATCTTTAGTTTTAAACCATGACAAGATACATACATACCTGATTTTTGGGAAACACTTTTGGAAAATGAAGCAGATCATAAGCTGCTGTCCTGATAATGAAAGGATCTAATATTCTGATTTGATGGGGTTTATAGATCAAGTTTAAGGCTGGTTTCTTCCAAAAACCATTAGTATTCTGAAATAAAGAATATAGAAAGTTATGGTTGTCTTTTATGTTTTAAAGGAAAAAATACTGAAGGTAATCTAAAGGCAGATCAACTTTGCCAACTTACTATTTTGCCACCAGTCAACAATTCCACCAGCCACTTTAAGTCAAGTGGCTTAAAAACAGTGAGTATCGCCGTAGTATTTGGATCGTTGTAACTGGGATCTGAAAAAACAGATTCTGGATAAAAAAGTCGGAAGGTTGTCCTTCTCCCAACTTCCTCTTCATGTCCTAAAACAGGACCATTATTCATTCTGTGGGTAGTAAAACATGCAAGATATGTAGACCAAGTGAAGCATGAGCCATTTCCTTCAAAAATTTCAGTGGTTTCAGAATTACACAAATAGCCCAACTTGCCAAAGATTAAAACTAGACCCCTATCTCTCACCATGCACTAAACTAAAATCCAAGTGGATTAAAGATCTAAATATTAAAACAGAAACACTAAACTTGCTGGAAGATAAGTTAGGTAGAACTCTCGATGACATTGGCATAGGAAAAGACTTTATGAACAAATCCTCAGTAGCACAGGAACTAGCACAAAAAATCAACAACTGGGATCTCATCTTATTAAATAAGCTTCTGCACTGCAAGAGAAACCACCAACAGAGCAAAGAGATAACCTACGACATGAGAAAAAATTTTTACCAGCTGTTCCTCAGACAAATATCTACTATCTGGAATATAAAGAACTAAAAAAAAAAAAAAAAAAAAAAAAAAAAAAAAAAAAAAAAAAAACAGGCCCGCCAAATATAAAGACCCAATTAAAAAATGTGTAATCTAAAATGAACAGTAATTTCTCAGACAAACAAGTAAAAGCATCAAATAAACATATGAAAACATGTTCAACATCACTGGTCATTTGAGAGATAAAGAGGAAAACAACACAGATTCCACTTCACCCCCAAAAGAATGGCTGCTACCATGAAATCAACCAATAACAAATGATGGTAGGGTTGTGGGAGAAAGGAACCCTTCTTCCTTGTTGCGGGGAGTGCAGACTGATGCAACCACTGTGGAAATCAGTGTGGAGATACCTCAAACAAGTAGGTTTAGAAGTCCCATTTGACCCAGCTATTCCCCTGCTAGGTATCTTCCCAAAAGAATTAAAAGAATCATACCACAGTGATATATGCATACCCATGTTTATAGCAGCACAGTGTAATAGCTAAAACTTGGAAACAGCTCAATTGCCCATCAACTGGAGACTGGATATAGAAGATAACATTGTTTTTTTTTTTTTTAATAAAACGGAGTAATACTCAGCCGTAAAGAACAAGAAACTAGAGACATTATAGCTAAGTGGATGCATATTGAGGACATACTCAAGTGAAATTAATAGGACTCACATGTGTAAATACTAAATCATTTCTCTGCTATGTAAAACTAAAAGTGTAAATAAGGATTAAAATGTATAATTGATATTGTGAAACAGGTAGAAAATGTCTAAAGGAGTAGGGGAAGTGGGAGGGGTAGTGGAAAGGAAAGCAGGGAAAAGAAAAAATATGAGAAAAGGGAAAACATGGAAACAAAGTCTTTGTAAATAGGGAAGGGAGGAAGGGGTGAAGGGAGGGCAGGGGAATGGGGAAAAAATAAGAGCAAAGATACAACATGTAAAGGTATAAGATCTCAGTGATGAATGTAACTGTACTGTGTACCTAAAATGTACCAATAAACTTAATGGAAAAAAATAGCCATTTATTCTGTGTTCTGAAGCCACATAGTAGTTGACCAACCTCTTACACATAATGGTGTATGAAGTATTTTCTTTTCATAAAATATCTGTTTGACCAAAGGAGAAACATTAATTTGTACTAGAAAACTAATGATGGGGGAAATTATAATTCAGTTTTACTTCTAGGAAAACTGAAGACTACAATAAGAAATGGGAACACAGAACCACAAAATACCAGAGTTAAAAAAGAGACCTTGGAGGACAACCAAATAAACCTTCAATTTATAATTAAGAGGCCTGAAGTCCAGAAAGAAAGTTATTTCTCACAATCTTGTTACACATGGACATATATCTAAGGGACAGGTAAGAAGAATAATTTAGAATGGACCTAAAGACCCATCAAAATTGTGCTCTGAAATGAAGTAACCATATAAAATTGCTGTATTACACTAGAGCACAACAAGATGAAGATCTTTTGCTAGGGGGAAATCAAAGAATTACAAGGATCTATTGTTAGGTTTGTGTGTTCTCAGAGCCAAGGTTAGACATGCACTATTTATGTACATACTACAGTCATGCTGTTTAAAAAAAAAAAAGGAATGCCTTGTTTCCAAAACAGTGTTCCTTAGGAGAATAAATACTGTTTTACCCTTTGTCACTGACTCTGTGTAATACCAGACACTCTCAACACTTGAAATGACTTTCAAAACGTGAAAGTAGTGTTTTCCTAACAAGGCTCTAAAACAGTGGTAGCAAACCTACAGCATACATGCTACAGCAGGTGGTTTGTTATTGAAAGCTCTAAAAGGTTTGTCATCACTGTGTTAAATGACCAGATTTAGACATTTATAGGTACAGAAATTTGTGAATGCTTTCAAGTATATTTTGTAAATAAATTATCCCCACTTCCTCAAAATGGATTATAAGAAATAAGGTGACCTTGCCATGTAGAAACCAGTTTTTAGCCCAGCAAAACCCTCAAACATGCCAGGTCACCCTAATATGTTGCCCCAGTGTGCTAGCTTTCCTACAGAAGGGTATTCATAGCTCTTCTTAACACAACACACTTAGGCCCAATGATGACCTTACCTAATCCTTTCATTGAGAAAATACAAACATCTTCATTTTCCTACCACTACATCTAAAGGAGTATTAGTAGCTGTAACCACAGTCTGGTCTTTTCTTCCCATTAAAAGATATTAATCACTCCTGCTGGGCATGGTGGTACAGTATGTAATCCCAGCAGTCTGGGATGCTGAAGCAGGTGGTTGGCAAGTTGCAGCCCAACCTGGGGAACTTAGTGACTTAAAGCGACCCTTTCTCAAAACAAACAACAACAACAACAACAACAAAAAAAAAAAACCAAAAAAAGGTCTGAGACGTAACTCAGTGTGAAGGCCATTCAACTCCCATTACCAAAAATAAACAACCCCCCTGAAAAAAAAAAAAACTACATTTGGATCCAACTTTCTCTCTTTATCATATCAATCTCTTTTGCTACTTTCATGTTGAACAATATGCTCTAGCATCTCCTATCTTCATAAAACAAAATGAAGTAAATCCTTCTTTGTTTCTATAATAATCTCCAACTACCAGCTCATTATTTAACTCCTTTTCTGAGCTAAATTTCTCAAAAGACTTAACTGGTTTCTCCACTTCCTCCACATCCCATCCTCTCTTCTTATCTTCTCTCTCATTCTTGTCATAGGACACCTAAAGCTTGCTTTGTTCAGAGTAAAATAGCTTTAAGCTATTGACAATCTGGTGTCCCTTCTCTATCTTTGTCTAGTGACTTCTCATTACATTTTGGACCCAATTAATCCTTCTCTCTGTCTTGGAACACTTTGCTATCTTGGATTCTATGATCACCTTCTCCTGAATTTTTTCCTACCACTAGACTCTCCATCTCTTTTGTTCATTCTGTTTTTCTTTGTTCAGCTTCCAAGTATTGAGCTCCAAACCTCTGTCCTGCGCCCTCACGTCTCTGTCTATTTCTTCCTGGGGAACATTAGCAGATCCATGGTTGAAATATGTACAGCTCATAGGCTGCTCAAAATTTTATCCAACTACCTACTTAACTTATCCAGTACATATCTCTTAAGCACCTCAAATCTAAAATATTAATATAGAAATCTCATTTTTCCTCTTTACTCCTAGACGTCTTCCCAAGCTTAATAAATTACACCATTTTCCGGCCAATCTCAAGCTAATAACAGAGTAGAAGGCATCATTGGTTCCTTTATTCCAATTATTCCTCATATCTAATAAAACAAATCCTAATCAAATTTTGATTACGTCTATATCTCGTCTGTCCACGCACCTGCTTCTCGCCCATGACAATCCTCTCTCAAGCTACCATCATCTCCTAGATGAATACAGCGATTTAAAAGGATGCTTCATTTGCATCCCTTATCTCTCACATTCCACTGTCTATGTTCAAGCTAGAATATTTTTAAAGCATAAGCAGATTTTATTATTCTCTGCTTAAAAATCTTTAGAAGTGTCCGGCTACACTTAAAACCCAAGATTCCAATCCTGCACAGCCTGCTCCTTGCCTACCTAGGCTTCCAATTTTACCACACTTACCCCACCTTGCTCTCCTCTTACACTACTGGGGTTTGTGGCTTCTTTCAAACTCAAGATCATATCCTCCTGAGGACATGAAATAAACATTCTCTCTGCTTGAACTATGCACCTCCCTAATCTCCAAACTGCTGAGACTATATGGTCACTTAGGTTCAGCTTTAAAATCTCTCTTTAAAGTGGTTCCCAAATAATTACTCATTCACTATAATTTTTAAAAAATTTTCTATGCGGTCATTACTTTTTAATATATTTAATTATATTTTCATCCTTTCATTAGAATGTTAGAATGTCCACAAGGAACAGGAAAACTGTTCTTGTCCACTGTTATCCTATGGCTAGACATATTTCTGGAATAATAAGAGCATTTAATAGTTTCTAAATCAGTAACCTGAAATCTAGGCCTCATGCTAGCCAACAACCAAGAGAGGGATTGTGTAACCAAGTACATAAACAAATTGAAGCAACTCTTAAAACACAGCTGTCCTAACAGGGAAATATACTTTTTTTTTTGAAGAAACAGAAATATATTTACCTTATTATTACATCATAGGAGTCAATTTTTTCTCCTAATGTCTTATTCTTCAAAACTCCTCCATTACCAACCACCACACATTTTTTACATGGTTCACTGTTGGGCAAATCAATGAGAGAGATTAAGCAATGAGTGATTACACAATCTTTTACACAATGAGTGATTACAAGAATCTATCCCTACTTTCCGGAACTCTATTCCAAATTTCACTGTTGCACAAGAGAAAAAGGGTTATTATAATTTATGGATCTAGGTATGTATTAGAAATATGCAAGATTCAAGAAATAAATAATATTCTATAGTAAGATTATATTAGCTAATAAGTATCAACTCTTTGCAGCCCATACACATTCTCTCTCTTGATTGTTATAATCACCTATTAAGATAAGCCTGTTATTTTCATATACAAATGAAATTAATTAAGAAAAATATTACATAACATTTCAAAGTCACACTCCAAAGAGGTGGAACTAGCATTTGGATCCATGCTTTTAGAGTACAAAAAGACCCTTCTACCCACAAGTTTATTTGTTGATAAATACAAGTGTGTTTTGTTACACACAAAGACACTTTTCATCACTGTTACCCATTACTCTGAGATCCCATCTCTGGCCTTCTGTTTTAATCTCCTAAGTGTGGAAATGGACAGTTTCTGTACCCTGCCCATCCTCGGTTTAATTTTCCACACAGTCAACTTTCCAGACCAGTACTTGAAGCTTAAACAAAAAAAAACTCAAAATTCATTCTGTTTTCCTAGCAAAAAGCTTTAAGGTGGACAGGAAGGCAGTCTTTCTGTTGAAGAGAACCATGAATTACAAAATATTGGCTCTCAGTAAGCATAGCTGAGGCCCATCTATCTTCTAGTTCTTTTTTTTTCAGCTTTAATTGAGTTTATTGGTCCATTTTAGGGATACAGTACAGTTACATTCATTGTTGGGATCTTGTACCTTTACATGACAGGTCTTGGTTCTCATTTTTTCCCCTTGTCCCTGCCCTCCCTTCATATCTCCTAGTTCTTACCACCAGCTTACTAGGCCTAGAGAAATTACCAAATAAACCATGGCCTTCTCTTCTAGTAGGTAAAACTACAAAACAAGGTTGTTGAGGTTGTCCTTTCAGGGCCCTTATGGGGAGTGTGGAGAAAACACTGTTTCTTTAAGAACCATGAAATCAGCAAAGCAGCTGAACTCAAAACCTTAAGGCTTTTAGGAAATTAACAAGTGGCAAAATTGCACAAATGCTGTTAAATATTTAAAAATTGAAAACTAGGAAAGCAGGAGCTATTTAAAAGATCTAAGCACTGCCCTGAGTCAGGCTGATAAAACAGCATACACATTCCTATACTCCTAAGTTTACCCTAGCATTTAAATACCCCATCTAATTAGGGGCTGTCAGCTCTCAAAAGTCAGGGTAACACCAGTGTTTACTTCGTCAGGAAAAACGAAAAACAAAAGAACCAAGAACTACCAGTTTCATAGGTGTCAGGGATTCAGGATGTGGAGGTGTGGGGCAAGGGGTGGGGGTATTGTCCTAAGAAAATGTGCCCCAAACAACATATCACAGACACATCACATGTCACAGTGTTTTTTTTTCTTGAAGTATGTAATTAGGTCTGCTTTTAACTAAGAAGGTATTCAAGATATTTTTATAAGCAAGTTTGATTTTAATCCAATTCTAAGTCAAGTTTATCAAGGACTCTATGGGGCAACTGCTGAAAGAGGAGGCTGTTGAGTGAATGTGTGTGTGTGCATGCGTGTGTGTGTGTGTGTGTGTGTGTGTGTATGCACACTTTATTACTGGGGATTGAACTCAGGCCCTTCACACTGAACTACATGCCCCACCATTTTTTAAATTTTGAGACAGGATCTAACTAATCTCTTCTTTCAGGGAATTATTACCAGATCCATCCCATGAATGTTCTATAGTACACTGTATATGTATATAATATATGTATAGTATATGTCCTACACTCATAGCCTACATGAGCTTTCCATAACCTCAGGGTAAGTTTAATGCTACTGAGAGACTGTACCTCCTGAGGCTGGCTCCATCTCCCAACTGGGAACACTAAGCAAGGCTACACACTATTGGGGACGGCAGAACTGGAATAACAGCTGTTCCTATGAGACAACCTGAACTAAAGGACAGGTAGGAATATGTATCTGTAATTATGGTCCCTAGTGTAACTCCCTTCCTCTAAGGAAGGCTGGAGGCCAATCTTCTAATCAATGGGCAGGGTTGCTTTGACCTGAGCCCAGATGCCTTAGGTGGCACTGTTCTGCTGTGGACTATTAGCAGGAAGGACTGATTCTTGTGTACTTGCCTGGGCTCCTGGCTACCCCTGTCTCCTTAGGTGTGAATAACTTTCTGTTACCCTCAGGTGACTATGTAACTTCACCATTTTCTTTTTTGGTATTGAGGATTGAACTGGGGACTTCATGATTGCAAGGCAGGCAGTGGCACTACTGAGATAAATCCCCAGCCCTTCATCATATTTAATTATTACCAGTTAACTAATTTTATGCACATACAGTACAGTGAAGTGTGAGTCCCTAGAGGCAAGAATAGTATCATTTTTATTTCTTTATCCTCCCATCCAATTTCCTATTCACAGGTGCTTTAGAAATCAGTTTGGTTGTTACATTGAAGTGTATAGAAATCATTTTCCTAATTTGTATCTGGAGAAGCAGGCAATGTTACTCTAATTTGGAAATAAACAGAGAAATGCACAAGCCCCAAGCTTCTCACTCAGAAAACAAAATAATTCCAGAATGCCTGAGCACCTGTTAAGGGAAAATCTGAAAAGCCACTGAAATAATAGTGGTAAAATATTATTCTTTCCTCAGTGAAAGGCATGCTTTTCATTAAATTAGGCAAAGCCAGACAAGTCACACTATCGTATGTAAGTAAACATCATTAATACAAAGAGAACAAACCTGAGTTGCTCATTTCAAAAGATTTATGATGTGTCTTCTTTTCTGAATGCTTTAGACATTCATTTTTCCCTTCAGCAGCATCATATACATTAAAATACATTCATCTTCAATGTAACAACCTACCACAGATTCTACTGATCATATTCCTGATACCTATTACCCCACATGCCTTGTAGCAGAGTCCTGCTTTTGTAAGCTCATTTCCTCAGCTAATGATTGGTCTAGAGATAGTCATGTGACTCATTCTGGGCAAGAACATCATAAGAGAGTCCGCTAGGTGTTCTTGAAAGAGATTCTGTCCTGCGTAAAAGAACGGTGGGAGTAGAACACTTCTACCTACCTTTTTCTGCTTAGATGTGTGAAGATAAAGTTAGAGCAGCTGCAGCCATCTTGCAAGTCAGATTGAAAGATCTACAGAAAAACTAACCTGGAGCCCTAACATCAGAGAGCCACTAATTCGATCACACATATCATACAGTATGCAGGTTGTTCACAGTCCAAATACAGGGAGCATCAGTGAGATAACTGTGTATGAATTGGCACTCTCTAGGATTGGGCAATTCACAGTTAGAACAGCCACTAGCAGGACACTCTGCAAGCTGGTACCACAAATCTGCAGAGCTGAAATCACATACTTATGCAATTTGGGCAGTAATAAGTAACTTAATCAGGAAACTATTACTTGCAGCAACTAAACTACTGTATAGGAGATCATGAGTAGAGACCTGCATATTTGTTCTGGTTCCCCTACTTTGGCACCTCTGGCAACATGGCCCAGTAATCTGACCTCTCTGATCTAAGTTTTAGCTTTCATGAAGTTAGGAAATCACTCATGCCCTGAATATTGTTAATCCATTGGATATGACCATTTGCTATGACATGCGTAGCATAATTTTTATAACTTTAGCTAACATGGGACCACAGCAGAGGTAGGAAAAAGGTAGTGCTGTACTTGGGCCTTTGCCACATATGACTCAGTTATGTACTCACAGCTTCCTCTTACACTTAATTTCCTCTGTAATGTACAACAGGGTGATAGAGTAGGAATGCAGGCATTGATATTCTTTATAAAGTTAGGACTGTTTTTAGCAAACAGACTACTAATGTCTCTCTCTCTCTCTTTTTTTTTTTTTTTTTTTTTTTTTTTTTTTAGTACTGGGGATTGAACTTGGGACCTTGTGCTTGAGAAGCAGGTGGTGGAACCACTGAGCTAAATCCCTGTCCCCTAAGGTCTAATTCTTTTAAAAGTTTTCTAAGGGCATGCTCCTCACTTGGTGGGTAACCAATATAATCCCATTCCACTGATGCTTATGCAATGGAATCTCCAACTGACTTGACACAGGTGTTTCCTTTAGGTTACTGTATAACCATTTATGCAGCGGGACAGAAGCATTCTTTAAAAAATATTGCATACTTGCAAAATGCAATGCTGCTGCTTGGGGGTACTGGGAGCTCAGGTTTTGTGCTTCCCACTGAGGAAAGAGCAACATCTCTGGGATCAGAGAAGAGCTGGATGGTGCTAGGAAGCACATGGACAGCCAGAAAGGCTCATGATTTTGGATCATGAACATATTCCAAGTACTCTTTTTTCATATTTCAATTCCCTTAAAATATCCTCAATCTTTAGGGAAAACTGCAACCTTGTGTCAACTGTGCTTTGAAGAACAGAGGAATCCAAACCTGTGAGAGCAACAGCAGCAACATATAGAAAAGATGCAGCAACCTCAGCTGTTGCACAATAATACTTAATTGACTTCAGATTCCTCTGAGTAACACAGAAAGAAAGAGGGACCAGAGAAATGAATGGAGGGTACTGATATAAATAGCTAGCTGTTATGTTTCCTTAGTCCTTTATAGTAGAACTCATTGTTTTTAAAGGTGGACACACAGTCACCTGGAATAAAGACAATATTTTTCCATCCAACTTCCAGCTGCGTATGATCTTGTGATTAAATCCTATCCAATGGGATATCCTCAGTGGTTGCTATACATGTTTATCAACTATTTCTGGTGAGGATCAGTAAAATGGGAGAAGCACTGGTTTGTAGAGTTTGCCAAATCCCATAGTACAAATACTCTCCCCATGATTGGTTTTAAGCTTCCTCCTTGAGGGCACTGAATATGGAACAGGGAAGAAGAGCAGCTCTCATAAATTGATACCAAGCTGGGGGAGGATGTGCACACCTGTAATCCCAGCACTCAGGAGGCTGAGACAGGATCACCATGAGTTGGAGGCCAGGCTGGACTATATAGTGAGTTCAAGATCAGCGTGGACTACACAGCAAGACCCTGGCCCATGAGAGGGGTGTAGGTGTGTGTGTGTGTGTGTGTGTGTGTGTGTGTGTGTAGAGAGAGAAAGTTAGTTGATACCAACTCTCTGTGTGTCATATATGGGCTCTGGGAGATGACCTTAAAGAGGAAGGAAATTCTCAAAGTTTGGGGCATGTCCTTCTCCTCTTGTGCCTCCCTTCTGGCAGTAAACTCCAGCTATCACATGACCAGAAGGAGGAAGTCATGTACTATACAATGGCACAGTCACAACAGAGAAGCCTGGTCCCCTGATGACCACAAAACTGCTGAGCCAGCCTTACAGTGTTTATCCAGCAGACTTCAGATATATACGAAAACTATGAAAACAGGGAAAACTTACATCTTGTAATGAAAATTCATGTCTTCCCGTTTACAGTGGAATCTATCCCAACTGAGGGCATCATGAATACTGTTCAAGATATCTGAACAAAGCTGGTACTTCCATCTACCTGGCAGAATCTTAAAGGATTTAGATTTGAAAAACAACAACAAAAATGTCCAAGCCTTTCTGGTAGTGCCCTGATAGAGGAAAATTCCTCAGCAGAGGAATGAAATATGAGATGAAAAAATGGACACAGGTTGGGGGACAGTGGGGGCAGTCTCAGTGGCAAAAGGGCAAAGGAGCAGGAACAGCTATGTGCAGAAGGGAGGAAACAGTCTGGCCTAGGCACACACAAGTGGTTGAACACCTGCAGGAGGAAGTTTATGAAAGCTACTAAATAAAGCACAGTCTAATTCTGACATAAAAACTAGGCAAGAAGGAAACTTCAAGTCACATTCCCTTAAGAAGCTGACAGGAGCTCACATTTATAGCACCAGGGATCTTTATAAACTACTTGTAGATACTTGCTACAAATATTTAATAAATAGCCCTTCTCACTGATAAGTTACTTACTGGAGTTGGAGCTACCTAGGTTCATGTCCTACCTTTAGCATTTAAAAGATATAACAAACTGTGTTTGTTTTCCTAGCCTCAGTTTCTGCATTTACAAAATTAGAGAGAACTGATCTAAAGCACATGTGCCAAAAGTTTACACAAAGTAAAGCTGTATAAAACAGAGCTATGTAAAACATTAGGATGAAACATTAGGTTGCTCATAATTTACAATCAAAATTGCAATTGATCTGGTGTATAGTTTTAAAATAGAAACTGAAGTGAACCAACCCACATGACAAAATCTACTCTTCATTAATCTTAGTGTCTTACTGATAAAAGTTAGATAAGTCAAACAAAGTCTAATACTTCTCCTTGAACTCTAGTTTCCTCATTTTTTCTCTGTCCACTACCCCCACTTCCTGCACCTAGTAAGCAGCACCTCCATGTTCTCAGGCAAGAGGCAAAAATTCTACCACTACCTTTCTTTCAGTAGATCACATCTATAGATCATCTACATGTTCAGACTGGCCCACCGGTCAGATTTTAAAGTATAGCTTAAAACTTTGTACCTGCCTCTGTAAAAAAAGCTTATTTGCAAGAATTCTGTCGGGCAATTCAATTTCTGTGGGGCCATCTTAGTATATTTTTCTAAGAATTAAGTTGCTTTTGTAGTCAGAAAATTTGTATCTAAGCAAGCTGCTTGATTTTTTAAAAAAATATAATTTTGAATAAGAAAAAGTTGCTTCAAAAAATCTAATAATCAACCTCTAACAAATGAAATAAAAAGGATATTCAGTAGCAGTTTGGAAGACACATGAGAACACGTGGGAACATCCCATGACAGAGGTGTTGGCTGATTAACTGAGGGTGCATAATAGTTCTGGTGGAAATAACTTAGAAAAGATGAATATGTGTTTAAAATGGCTTGAGGGCAATACTGTTCATCAGTAAAACTCTGCAGAATGTTGAGTTAAAGAGTTATGTAGTTCCTAAATTAACTTTCTAGTTTATTTCACCCATAATAAGAAGAAAAACAACTATTCTGCAAATTTTAGTTATGCACAAATGCTGTGGAATGTTCCTAAGTAAATACACTTTACATCTCTTGGGGCACATATTTTGAACCAACTTATTAGCTAAAGCTAAAGATCAGAGATAAGAAAGGAAATAAACTCACTTGTCAAACTCATCAAAGAGATCACAACTCTGAAGTTTTGAAAGAGCAAGTCGAAAATAGTCCGCTGGAAAAACAAATGGAAGATTGTGAATAAAAGATAATCATGGCTTCTTGGATTCATCTTGCTCCCTGCCCCACAAATCCATTTCCAGTTGGTACTGATAAATTAGATTTAATCTTGGAAAAGTCAATGACACAGCTACAATTATCCCACACCATGAAATAAGCACATTCAAAATGATAAATGTTCTAAAGATATCTCTCAATAATCTCAGAAAGAAATAAGATGTTTAATCTGAAATCAATAATAAAAGTAATAGAAAAAACTAGCGATATTAGATAATTCTGAAATTGACATTATAATAGAAGTCAACAGAAGTTTAAATAAATTACATTGTTAAATCCTCTGCAAAATATTTTAATAATACAAACTAAAAACAAACCAAAACAAACAAACAGGATTAGTTGAAGAAATAAAATCTAATTTACAACACTGTAGTCCTGTCACCTCTTGGGTTTTTTGTTTGTTTTTTTTGTTTGTTTGGTTGGTTGGTTTTTTGAGACAGGGTCTCACTATGTAGTTGAGACTGACCTGGAACTCACTGTGTATTCCAGGCTGGTCTCTAACTCACAGAGATCCTCCTGCCTCAGCCTCCCAAGTGCTGGGATTACAGGCGTGGGCCACCATTCCCAGCTACCTCTTGGGTTTTTAAGGTCACTCCAACATCCAGAATTCAAAGCTATATAAGGCAAATCAGTTCTCAATAAGCAGAAGAAAGTGCTTTTGTCACTAAAAGAGAGTTAATTAATTCTTTCTAAATAAAACAAAACTAAAATATCCACTGATTAAATTGAAATACTGATCAAGAGCTAAAGCTTACTGATGAAATAAAATAGGTACAGAGAAGAAAGGTGAGACTGGGAAGAAGTTAACTGTCAGGATGAGCTACTAATTCTAAACTGAAATAGTAAAGCATCAAAACTCATGTAAGTCACAACTGGGCAGAATGCAGCAAAATGGATTCTCAAGGACAACAAAAATATATACCTTTTATATGCTTTTGATTCCATACTGCCTCAAAAACAGTGGATGTTTACGCTTTAAAATGTAATTCCTTTCATCTCATTTCAAAATTAACATCCCTTAGGAATCATTAGGAAGGAGAAAGAGTAAAATGCTTTAAAATTAAATAAATGTGGCTCTCATCAAATACCACTCAAATCTAACAGGGCAGGGTAAGAATGAAATTACTGACCTGATGTTCTTATCCCATAGGGCAAATCAAACTTATCGCTACCATAAATGGAAGCAATCTTTTTAAAATCAGTTGTACACAGAAAAGGGTGAAACTGACGAAACCTGACAAGAGAGGATGAAGAATGTTTACATCAAATGCCTACTGCATTTTCAGGCTTTCAAGGTCACAATTGAAAATAACCGCACTATACAGACCATATTTCATAGTTATTTTAAAATTCTTGAGAAATGATTTAAAACAGTATTTAAATTGTATACAACGGGATATGCAATGGAACTATATGCTGGAATAGCAATACTTTCCAGGTGCTAATAATTTCCCAAATCACCAGATGTATGAAATATCAACTATAAAAGCAAAAGTATAGTAAAAGTTAGATGCCATTAGAATGCAGCTTTTTTCTAATGCAATTAAATTAAGTATTAGGAAATTTGATGAATCTAGGAAGAACCCTGCTTTTGGGGAGTTTTGCCTCATTTTTACTGCCTGCTACAAAGTGCCATATGTAGCAAATGACTGAATGAATTTCAACTCCAAATCAATTTTTATGAAGTAGAATTTGATTAAAGAAAAGATTCTTAAAAGCACATATGAAAATGTTATTTTCTCCCACCAGGACACTGGACTCTGGTCACACGCTGCAGGACAGACCTAGCTCATCCTTACCCCAGCCCCCAAATCCCCTCTTTTCTGACACATCAGTTCTGTGCTTAGTGTGAAGGCTGCAAGTGGGTTTCAGATTGGTGCTGGGCCTTCAGAAGGCTGCAGGACAAAACAGAAATAAACAGCAATAGAGTAAGAGTGAAATAGTTTCAGTTGTGTTCTGGTTTGGTTCCCCATGAGCCATTAAACTTGGGCAAATAATAGGAACTTAATGTACAGAGCTGAATTATGAACAGATACTGCATTCATGTGAAGGAAATGTGGTGCTCCTTGCCCTAAATCTGCTGCATGCCCAAGATTTCAGTTGTGCTAATGACACCACTACAGGGGTCAGCCAACCTGCAGGGGTCATTTCTATATCAGTGTTGGTCCTTTAAGTTCAATATCTGCTTTGGGAAGACAAAGTATCAGCTCACCTGACTTAAGCTTGAGAGAAGACTTTCTAGGAAAAATCAGAGCTTAGATCACTACACCAATAAAGAACTGGTGCTCTTTGGAGTTAGAGAGACTGATAATGATGATAACTAATGATCAGTGTCTCTCCAGTCAAATCTTGTCCTTGGTGCCTGATATTTTATTTCTGAATAAAATAATCTTATAAACAAGGCACCACGCCTCAGACATAGCAAGAGCTCAATAAGTGTTAACTTTATCTATAATAATTATATTACATTGTGTATATATTACAGTGTAGTTTGTTATGACATATTGTATCACATTACATTCTGGGATTGTTAGTCCTACAAATGTCTAGTAAAGTAAGTGAGGTGAACTAATCTGCGTAGAGGAAAGCTATTTCTAGCCAAAGAACAGAAAATGAGGAAGAGGGTTATAAAAAACATTTATGGAAGACTTCTCTGCAGTAAAATTATCAGTGCCTTTTAAGTCAAAGCTATTTTGAAAAAGCCATGAAGCTATGAGAGGGAAGTAACTTGTCTGGGGTCACTAACCCATAGATAACAAATCTGCAATGTGCCCGGGAGGTAAACCTAATTCTAAGGAGAGCCATTCCAGGTTTCTGACCACAGCTTCTTGATTGCTCCTAGGTTTCCTTTATTTCTGAGAAAGAGGCACACTCCAGGACACTGTCTGTAGATAATACTGTTCATAGGGCAAATACAAATCTTTCTGTCCCTTAAACTTCAGACTTACATACTTGCTAATGACTCTTGAATAAATGCTTTAATCTTTTTGGAGTTTCTCAGAAAGAAAAATATCTTCTTGCACTAAAGCAATAGAGTACCTTGATTCCAGAGTAGCATTTTAATCTGTCATCCACCACCTATATGTGACTTACAAAATCAACTGTGTGACCCATGAACAGTATAATTTTAAAATGTGAGTAGAATAGAACACAGTATATCTGGAGCAGTAACAGTAAAACTTTTTTTTTCTTATTATAAGTACATGTGTGTACTATGTTACAAAGTAAAATGTATTTCTTACTATATGAATCATAGTAAAAAAAAAATCTTTGAAGTAGTTTTGTACTGTTCCTAAAGACACACACCCATGGACAGCTATATGATTGCATGTAAAAAGTTGTATCTGCAATTTTCTAGGCAGCTGATTGATTTTATAGGAATCTGTAGCCCCAAAGGATTAAGAAGCAGTAATGGAAAAATACAGTCATGTAATAAATTATGAGTTCTGATTTCTTCATGAAAGAAATGCTAAAAAGCTTCTAACTTTGTACACAATTAGACATGCCTAGACCAGACTGACATTTATTTCTTGTTATCTAAAAGAATTTTTGTCAGCAGTCTGTCAAAATTGAGGTACAAAGGAAAATAATATTTATGGATAGAAGAGTAAACCATTTACAAGTCCTGACAACCACAATGAATAGTCATTATACACTGTACATAGATTAATCATTATTTGGAATCTACAGAGTTTACAAAAGTCAGTAAAAATAAAAAAAATTCCTAATCATAAATTTTAAACTACAGCCAAGGAAAAAGAAACCACAGAGCAATAAGGGTGAAAAATAGCACAGGAACAGGAGAAAGATAAAACTCTAAAGACTAGCTCTTTCATGATTGATACAAATAGACCCCTCTAATCTCACCTGTGTGAAAAGAATAATGGTTTGACTGAGTTCTCCAATGCCTTTTCTTAAAATATATGGAGAGCACAAAGAGCGTAAAAAGATACAAGATATTCAAGCTTTTTAAAAAATATGAGGTGTTGGTTTTACACTGTGAAGGTTTATATGAAAAAGGCAAACAAATGAGGAAGACGATCAGGAACACATTTTAGACATTTTGTATGCTACAGTTTGTAGGGTGTATTTTTACCTCAGTAGGGGGGCAAAAGCTGGCTTTGATAAACAAGGCTGGATCTTATTTCTCCGCTTCATTTCCACAGGTGGTACCCTAGGAGGCAAAAATAGTGTCAGTCGGAAACCCGAACCAGGAAGCCTGCCCAAAGGGAAGCAAATGCCCCGGGAGCCTACGCCATGCTCCACTAACAGGCTGCCCAAGCAGAGGATAAAACTCTTCCCTGTAGCCCTGAGATTTGGCAGGACCTTCTCCAAGTCCTACACATTTGAGGATATGTGAGTACAAGGCAAGGAGAGTGGAAAAAGCCAGGGTGACCCTCAGACCAGAAATGATTCAAAGACCTCTCAGAGAAGGGTAGGGTTACTGCACTGTGGAAGTAAAAAAACAGGTTCCATTTTAAAAGCCCTAGAAATCCAGAGAAACCAATCATACCCTAAGTGCAAATAGTTGGCATCCTTCATGCATGCCTGGGGACATTTCAAACACCACAGAAACACCTGACCTGAGCAGATTCAACAGACCTACGCCTCGTGATCTTGGGGGCTCCACAGATCAAGCCATTTAGAGTCGTATCTAACTCTATTTGTGGCACAGGTTAAGCCCTGTGTGACTGCTGAATGGATTACTTGTCTCCACAATTTAAAAGGGTATTTATTGTGAAACATAAGAGAGCACAACAACAAAAATAAATGAAGGAGGTGGAGAAGGCAGGATCCAGGCTTAGAAAAGAGGATAGGGTTTAATATGAGAACTTTTGGATAATTAATTATGTAACTATCAATATTTTAAAAACCTAAACAATATTTTCACTTCTAGAATCATCCGGGTTCAAACTGAAGGAAAAAGACTAAATCTTTTATGGACAGATTTTTCAATACTATAAATACAAAAATTTCTAGAGCTAGAACTGCTAGTTTTCCAAACTCTGAGGCTTGCAAAGTTCTTATGTAGGAATACATCTCGTATGAATGCCAGAAATGGCAAGGACCCCTTGGTTTATGTTTAAGGAAGACACACACATATGCCGAACCTACACAACAGACCGAAAGCACTGAATTATATTTAGAGGACAAAATGAGGTATATTATTTCATTTTTATTGAAACATAAAAGTCAAATTGTTTTAGGATACTGAGAAAACAAACTTTGGGTAGCTTTTAAAGAAAACAAATTATCTGTCATAAATAGTTTTAAGGAATCAAGTTCACGGTACAAACATTTATTTGTAATATTTCCTTATGCTACTTTCTAAGAACGGAGTAATGTGTTTGGTCATTTTCGGCATTCCTCAAATTCTAATGACTGTTACATTCGGACCCATTTTATTATTTCTTTTTATCATTCTCCCTGGGACAAACAATAGGATCTACAGGAAAGCAGCAATGAAAGCTTTTTGCTTTCATTTCTGTCTCCCACTGCCAACTGTGGAACAGACAGAGTACGGCACAGGTGATAGGACAGGTCCCTGCGGTGTAATACTCATCGAATGTACAATCAGACTTTGAAATCTCTAGCACAGAATTAGGTCCAAATCCTCAAACTTCAGAATCAAACACAGTCATCCACCTGACTTGTCCCCACCCCACCCCTGTCACAATTTGCCTAGCTTTCTTCCATGAAAAGCATAATTTTTAAATGATAAAATTAAACACAGAAGCATCAGTTTTTTAAATCTAGTATGTGTAAGCCAAAAACATAACCAAGATCTGCTATTGAAACACTGACACAAAATACTGACCTTTTGTTTAAGACAGGAAGTTGTTGTGTGATTTATTTTAATTTTGTACTGCCATCCATTTAGGATTTTAAAGGTCATCAAAGCTATTTCTAGTCAAAGGACTGAAAATGAGGATGAGGGTTTAAAAAAAAAAACAACTTATTTATAGAGGACTTCTCTGCAGTAAAATTATCTGTGTCTCTCCCAAGCTTTAGAAGTAGCATTTTAAATGAAAGCTATTCTAAAAAAGGCATCCAACAATTACCAAAGATTTTTAAACAAAGGAAACAAATTTGGAGTATGTGTATTTTACCAACATTCTCTTACAATATCAACATATTTGTACCAGGGATCAAACTCCGTCCGGCCTTTGCACTTGCGAGGCAGGCACCAGAACCACTGAGATAAATCCCTGGCTTACTAACATTCTCTTATTCATTCACTTTAGGCTCTAAAAGTCAAATGCTATTTAGGCCAAGAATTACTCTATTAACTCAAGGAGACAAACTGTTACAGAAAGCTAGAACAGATTTAAACTTTTATAATGTTTCAAGGTTTTATTTTCTTTACACAGGTCCTTCTAATATTATTTGTGTATATGGAAAGACTAGTTTGGAAATTATGTTTAGCAAAAATGAAACTTACCAATAAACATTTGTTCCCCATAATATACAGTGTAACACGTAATAGAGGAAGACAGCACTCAGGAATATAGCCACAAGGTACCCTCTCATGGCTGGCCCACCTGAAACAAGGAGGGAAGTCCAAAAAAAGGGAAAGATTATCATACAGATAGATTTTTAAAATGAATAAAATTTGTATAAATTACAGTAAATAAACATATACAAGAGAATGGAAGAAAAATGACAGACTTGTAACTTTGAAAATATTAAATGAACAGAAAGAATATTTTTGGCTCTACTCTTACTACAACATTATATACATTTGTTTTTTTGTTTTTGTGTTTTTTGTGTTTTGTTTTTGATACTGGGGATTGAACTTGGGACCTTGCATTTGTGGCACCACTCAGCTAAATCCCCAGCAATATGATGTATATTTAGAACAATAATATTTAGAACAATTCTTTGGTTTCAAAGCTAGGGGCTTCCTTACTACTTTCCCATATTATATAAAAAAATTTCCTTCAGAACAAAATTTTACACATCTACTCTATATCTAAAACTTTTTTCAGAAACAGTGAGCATTAATTTTCTTACTCTCAATAGAGTACACACCTTCAGATGTGAATAAACATTTCTTTAATGCCTGACTTTTACATTTATATATTATAATTTTAGAGTCCTAATTTTGGAAAACCAAAAAACTACTGAAACACTTTTCCTACACATTCAATTTCTATATATTTTGAAATGTACTTATCAGATCTTTTGACACAGATATAATCAGCTAATTACTTGCTTATTTTGATGCTAAATTGATGATATTATTCATTGCACCTTTGCAGACAGACAAAGATCTGGCAGGATACAGTCCTCTCTAGAATGTAAATGAAAAAAAAAAAAAACCTTCACAGGATATATTCTTTAGAACTTCTAAAACATGTGCATTCAATTCCCCCATTTTGTTTCAAAAACAGGTTCTGTAGTCAATCTTATATTTCAGTGCATGACTTTAAACAGGGATACTATTCTCTGTCTTGCTTATCAAGTTTCTGGTTCATCTAAACAATTGCTTGTACCATTCCTCTCACTCCTTTCCATGTCTCTTCATTTCAATCAAGGCACTGCAGCTGAGGAGGTACAAGTCTGGCTGGATACATTTTCAAATAATGTGATGTTGCCTCCCTTTTAATGGTAAATAAATTCAAACAGAACTCTTGCCTTCATAAGTGGAATATACCAAACAAAACCGAAGCTTTTCATGATAATATAGGGTCATCTTAACAAATAATGACAATTGTGCTTGTTAGAGTTCAGACTGCACCAAACTAGGGCATGGAGCTATTTGCTAAACGATCCTCGACTGTAGTTATTATCTGGTTGAGACTTGGTGTTGCTCTCTTACTGTCAACAATTATTATGTGTAGTCACCAGATGCCACTAAAATAAATTAATCAAAAATAAAGGCTATGTCAGGAGAAAGCAAATAAATAAGCAAGTTAAATAAGAAAACCTTAGGTGTGGTGGCGCATGCCTGTAATCCCCAGCACTTGGGAAGTTGAGGCAGGAGGATTACTGTGAGTTTGAGACCAGCCTGGGCTACATAGTGGTGAGTTCCAGATTAGTCTCAACTACATAGTGAGACCTGTTTCAAAAAACTAAAACCAAAACAAAGTAAAACAAAGCAAAAAAAAGAGAAAACCTTAGTTTGCACGTACTTCTTCTTTAGTGTATATAATTCCTGTGAAGACTCAGCACTGGTTGGAAATCAGAAAACATGATTCAGAGCCAAATCCACATGAGGCTTGGGGTCAAGGGTGCTTGGGTCAATTGATCTGCTTTTTTCAAACCTCAGTGCCCTCACATGTTTACAACTGAGAGAACAACCTCTACCTCAGTGGGTTATTATCTTTTCATGGAAGGCAATTTACCACAGGCCAAAACAATCACCAGACAACTTGCTTACACATTCAAATTAAACACTGAATTTTCTACTAAGAATAACATAGTTTATATAAATATCAAACAAAGATGGAAGTTACCATGATCAGCAAATTTTCAAAAAATATATCTACATCTAAGGTAAGACTATGCAAAAGAATAAAATACATATTTATGTCTAAAACAGTGTGCAAAGCCCTAGAGAAAGAAGTCAGTTATTTGTAGCTGAATTGCTTATTTGACCCCAAAGCCTACTCCTTGGGCAATTTATGATTTTACAGAGCACAGAGCTGTGGGTGAGATTTTATTATTTTTTATTCACTAATATGTAAAGAAAGCAAAAAAAAAAGTATGAAAGAACATTCTTTTTTCCTTCAAAAAGTAAAATGACTACATACAACAACTGAAAATAATTTAGGAAGCTTTGCCACTCTTTAGCAAACTTTGATATTCATGTTGCAAAGTAGAACAGGACCAGCCAGGATATCCTTTGATAAACATATATGGTTCCTCTGTGTGCTCACAGGAAAAGCCTTCCACAGATAAATGAATTCTCTAAATATGATTCTATAAATGAAACAACCACTTTCCTTCGAGCAAAAGCATTCAAAGGAAAACCAGTTTGATTTAACATAGGGTACATGCTTTTAAAATTTCAGTTTCAATTACCAAAACATAAATTTGAAGATATTGACATTGACCATGACAGATGTCAGCTTTCTAGCTTTAAATGCTCTTCAAACCAGAGGCTCTTCAAAAAGCAGTTATTGCTGGGTGTAGTGGTGCACACCTGCAATCCCAGCACTCAGGAGGCTGAGGCAGGAGGATCGCTGTGAGTTTGAGACCAGCCTGGGCCTCAGAGTGAGCTGCAGGTCAGACTCAACTACATAGTGAGACCCTGTCTGAAACAACAACAACAACAAAAAGCAATTATTGTTCTAAAGTGTGCATGTAAGAAAATGAAGTAAAGCAGAACCCACTGGCAGAAGTCAAATATTCATTTCTTCTCAAACTTTGATACGTAACCCAGTGTATGAATAACCTACATATGCTCAATTGAACTAAATCATGGCAACAGAGTTTTTTCATCTTTAATAATAAAAGTATATTTTATTTGTGTGGAGCTTTAAAGTTCATAGTAAGTTTGTGTGTCCAGCATTTCACATAAGGCTCACAATAAGCACGTTAACTTCATGTGCAGGTATTATTCATTTGATGAATGAGGAAACCAGAGGTTTCTGTTGCTGTCTCAGATCACACAGTTCATGAGAGACAGAAATAGCCTTACAATGTAATTATTTCTTAGAGTTCTATTCCTGGTGTTATCCTGTTATCATAATATAAAAGACATGAGAGGGTACCCAAGAGACTTCTAATCTAAGACTTTCTATGGTAATCCTGGCGCCCACAGTTTTGAAAGAGTAAACTCGGGTAACATTGAAGGGGAATATGCTCTAGGGTCAAATGTTAGTACCATCAGGGTAGGAAGCTTATCAATATGAACATTCCTAGCTAGATGTAGTGGCACACATATGAAATCCCAGCACTTGGGAAGCTAAGGTGGGAGGACTGCTCTAATTTTGAGACCAGCCTAGGCTACACAGGACCAGCCTAAACTACACAGACAGATCTGGTCTTAAAAAAAAGCACATTCTAAGGCCCCCTCAAACATCTTCCAGTTTGATTCTTATGCAAATAAAAATGGGAGAATCAGTGCCTACTCTCACAGTACTTACAGTACTGTTGGATTACCTACAGTAACATGTTTAGGTTTCTGTCTTTCAGCAAATACATTCATTTTTTTCCTTTATAGTTTAGTAATATATTCTAGAGAACTGATTCTCCCATTTTTATTTGCATAAGAATCAAACTGGAAGATGTTTGAGGTGCCTTAGAATGTGCATTTTTTTAGACCAGATCTGAAAAACTATAATGGTACATAAGATCCTAATGATATAACTGATAATGTGAAATAGGAAGAAAAGGGCTAAAGGAGTAGGGGAAGTTGGAAGGGTAGGGGAAAGGTAATAAGGGAAAAGAAAAAAAATGAGAAAATGAAAAAATGGAAATAAAGTATTCGTAAATAGGGAAGGGAAAAGGGGGTGAAGGGAGAGCAGGGACAAGGGGAAAAAAATGAGAACCAAGACCTGTCATGTAAAGGCACAAGATCCCAATGATGAACGTAACTGTACTGTATACCTAAAATGTACCAATAAAGAAAAAAAGAGTAACTGTCACTCAAAGATGCTAAGTAGGTAGTTATTGAATATAGTTACAGATCTTGCTTTGTATTAACTTCTTTTTAACCATAAATGCCCAGTGCATAATGGCTGATTTGAATGCCTGAGGTTGTGTGTGGTTACCATGTGCCAAAGTATATAGAAAATGCTTCAGGTATATTTTCTCATATCATCCTGATAATCACCTTCTCAGGGAAGTAGTAAATTTCTGATTTCTATTTTAAAGATAAGAAACTGAAGATCTGAGTAGAATAATAAGCTGACAAGTAGCAGAACCAAGACTCCAACCCATATCTACCAGATCTGAGTCTCTGTATCATACTGAATTTCCTGGTTGTTAGGTTTCCACAAATAAGCATAGGTCCATTCTTTTGATACCAGACTACTCATTACAGAATATTTCTCTAATTTGTCAGTTCCACCAGCTCCTTAAACAGTATCCATTCAGTGTCAACTGGCAGGGCTGGGAATTTAGCTCAGTGGTTCCACCAACTGCCTCACAAGCACAAGGTCCCCACTTTGATCCCTGGTACCAGGAAAAAAAAATCCTCAATGTCAACTGGCAAAATGGAGAGAAAAATAGTGTCTTTAATACAAGTGCCACTGAAATAAAACTCTATTACTCCCAACCCTGTTTTGAATCATCAGTTCCTCCTAGGCAATGCTAGCATTTTTCATAAAACAAAAAAACAAAACAAAACAAAACAAAACAAAAAACATTATGGAGTGACACTTGAAAAATGGCCAGATTTTTGTTTTCAGGCTTTCCTTATGCTTTAGGGAACTTGTTTCTCTAACCAGCTTAAAAAAAAAGAAACAAAAACAAAACAAAAAAACATGTTCAGTAACAGTTCTGGAAATATCGTTCCACTCACCCATATACAACAATCCTATGGTTATCTCAAAATTATAAAACACCATTGAAGAAACAGTGTTGGCATTTTTTTTCAGTTGCTAACCCTACCTGCTGGGATTCTCCATACCATTTCTTGACCTGGTGCAGGTGTTCCCAAATGTCTATTTACAGATTCAGCCACCCCAAGCTCTGAAATTAATCCTGGTCCAAGAAGAGGGGACCCAAAGAGCAGTGGACTAGCAACTCAACAGTCTGGCAAGGTTCCCGAGGAGTCCATGGTGGCCTTGGGCATCTCATCCACTCAGAGTGGGTTCCAGCTGGAGGGTCTTAAATTGTATCATATCTTTCTCAGATCTGCCTTCTCTTAGCCATGCCAGCAGCTCTGCAGCCAAATTTCTAATTTTTTGGTAAATAGGATCTTAAACCAGGTCCCCATCCTCTGTGTGGCAAACCCTTCTTATGCTTCTTAGTTTCTCAGGGACTCATAGGACATAATGTTTCTACTAGTCATCTGTCATACCCAGTGTGCTACTGTTTGGTAATAATAATACCCAATAGCTTGTACTTTGTACAAATTAGAAAAGAACATGCAGTCTAGCTCCCCACAGCCATGTAGGCATCTGTATTTCTATTATTGTGGCAGCAGATAGAATTCAATCACAACTTTCCTCCTTAGCCAGATGCCCATGTTCATAATTTACCTTTCCATCCTTACAAAGTTGCCCTCCTGACACCTATGTCCATTCATCCATCCAAGAGAGTTTCTTCAATTAAGGTTTCTCCTGGTTCTCCACTCACAGTAAGACACACTCAAGACTGGAATGTGGCCATGGATCTTACATCCTGCCCTCCTTCCTCTTTCTACTTATAGCGCTCAGTTTGTGATTATTCTCTGTAATCACATACCTGTATGAACGAACAAACACAGAACAAAAGACCCCTAGCTTTAGCTATGCAATTGATGTCTTTTTTTTTTTTTTTTTGTCCAGTCCCAAAGGTCCTCTAAGTCTAAGCTTCTTGACCTCACCATCTTCACAAAGCCCAAGTTTTAACGCAGATATGCAGGATCCCACAGTAACAGATGCAAAGGTCTCAGTCCTCCTCGCACAACCTTTTTTTTTTTTTTTGTACTGGGGATCAAACTCAGGACCTTACACTTGCCAGACAGGCACTGTGCTGCTAAGCTAAATTTCCGGCCCTCACAATCCTTTTTAAAAGTATAGTCCTTTTTATTAACTGGATGGCCTAAATGTGTGAGAGTATCCTTTTATATATCAAAGACTTTTATGCTCTGAAAGTGATAAGTGTGTAAATAATAGCACAGGTCCTTACGTACTTAGTAAATGCCAGCACAGTACTAGCCCTTTTGCCTATAATATCAAGGGTATTATTACCCTCATGCTAGAGATACTTAACACCCAAAGCAGTGGCTAGAATTCAAACTGAGATCTAATTTCAAAGCCCACATTTTTAAATTGCATACTATGGAAAATTATAATTAATGTACTTTTTTACTATAACAGTATGAATTTAACTTAATAACACCTTTAAATTCATTTAATAATACCTTTTAAAAATAAAACGGTGCCGATCCGTGTGCGTCGGGAGTAGTGCCATGGAGGAACCTGGACTTAGGGAGCTGGTGCTGGATGCTAAATCCAAGGTCACCAAGCAGCTTATAGATTTTCAGTGGAAACGGGGGATGGCTGTGAGCTCGGACAGTTCCAGATCTCCTAAATATCCTTATGTTGCAGTGATGCTAAAAGTGGCAGATCATTCAGGTCAAGTATAGAACACATCTTTTGAAATGATAATTCCATAATTTCAGAATTTCTACAGCCAGTTCAAGGAAATTGCTGCTCTTATTAAAACTGTGTTACTTGTGTTGTTAAATTGTTATCATCATTTTGAAATAATGGACTTCACCTTGTGGAAAAGAACTGCACTTTCATTTTTCCATTTTTTAAAAATAATTACAAGATAAGCAGGAATTAGTGGTGATTGATGCACAACCCTGTGAATGTACTAGAAGTGACTGAATTGAACAACTTTAAAGGGTATATTTTGTATGTGAATTATGTCCTAATTAAAAAAAAATCAGACAATTGAGTGATACTGAAGAAAAAAAAAATTAAATGGTGCTAAAATGTAGTTTACTGGTAGAGCTTTGCGTGTAAGAGGTTATGGGTTCAATCCCCAGCACTAAAACAAACAAACAAATATATATATTTCCTAAGTACATTCATTGGAAACACTAAAATATGTAAAATTATTTAGCTCACAAATGAAGAGATAAACGTTAAGGAATCAGTAGTCTGGTGGATGAAATTTTCTGCTGCAAGGATCTGAAAATTCTTAGTCCATAACTAAAAAGTCCATAACATAAAAAGTGAATAATATATGAAGAATTAAATGAGCTGGGGGTTTAGCTCAGTGGTTCCACCACCTCCCTCACAAGCACAAGGTCCTAAATTTGATCCCCGGTACAAAAACAAAAAATAGTCAAAAGATATATACTATTATATCAAGAAAAGCCTAATTTAAATTCAAAGTTACAGCTATTGTGATATAATACAAATTAAGACAAAAAAAAACCTCTGACACAAGTTAATAAATTAACAGAAAATTACAGGGCTGGGGATTTAGTTCAGTGGTGCCACTGTCTATCTCGCAAGTGAAAGATCCTGAGTTTGATCCCTAGTACCAAAAAGAAAAAAGAAAATTATAATTTGATTTATGCCTCCCTCCCAAGAACTAATCTGAGAAGTTTCAGCAAATTGGACCAGTTGTATAAAACTGACTGACTGCTACTTACATAGCTGTTTTCTTTCAGCACGACAGAAAGACAACATGCATAATTAACTTTCTTGTCTTTGCCTCCTCCGATTCAGCTAACGGAATGATATGCAGCCACATTTCAGTCTGTCAAGAAAGCTGGTACTTTTGCCACATTTCATTCTGAGAATATGTAGACAGATCTATTCATCTAATTGAATCCAAGCCCTCACTGCCATACAGATGACCAAATCTTCCCCCTGAAAATGGGTGTACTCGCTGCAAAGAATATTAAAAGGACAGAAATGACATTTCAGCAGAATTTTGTTTTTTAGTTTCACAGCTGGACATGCAAATCATTCAGCTAAGAGCAAGTACACTGGGTGCTAAAAATAAATGAACTAGAGTTCCTGTTTTCAAGATCTCTTACTTTAGACTCAGCACCATTGCAACTAAGGAAGCTTTCAGGGGAACTTATGCTACTTCCGTTTATTCAGGTTTTCTTCCAGGGATCCACTTATTCTCTTCGAGGGGAAATTTTCTCTATGCCATTAGTATCACACTGATGAGGTAATGACTATGGCTTATTTTGAAAATTTACTTTTTTTTTTGAGAATTTACTTCATTGAGATGAATTGTTTATGGAATAAAATTTACGACCTTCAAGTGTACAGTTTGATGAATTTTGGAGAATGTATACAATCATATGACAATTACTAAAATCATGATGTCAAACATTTCCTTTAACCCCCCAGAATTCCTTTGTTCTTCTTTTCCCTACTCCCTGGCCTCTAGCAACCTGATCTGCTGTCATTATAGTTTGCTTTTGTTAAAAATTCATATAAATGTAATCATACAGTCTGTATCTAGCTCCATTCAGTGGGCATAATTCTTTTAAAAAGTCCATATTACAGCTTATACAAGAAGTTCATTTTTTTTATTCCTAAGTGACATTCCATTGCTAAGTGGCTATACCACAATTTTTTTTTTATCAATTCACTAGAAAATAAGCTTTTCTTTCCAGTTTCTCATTAGTATAAATAAAGCTACACTGAACATTCAAGTACATTTCTTTAGGTGGACATATGTTTTCATGGGTCACAAAGCAAATGTAAGTTTAACTTTATATTTTGGTGCCTATTTCTGAAAAACATATTTGTTAATCTCTCAGCTGAAACAATAAAGCTATTCAAATTATTGACACTACTGAATAATATAGCTGACCAAGTAAGAATCTCAACCTATTAATATCAATACTATGTTGAAAATATATGTACATCAGGCATTATTAATATGTGCACTAGTATATGGAGAATAGAGTTCACAGCTATTGAAAGAGCCAAATTATAGTGGTACCTCAGTTCACAAATTTAATTGTTCCCTGATTCTTGTCACAAACCAAACTGAATGAGAACCAAATCAAATTCAGTGGTTAGTTTCAATGGTAACCTTAGGGGGAAATTTGATTCCATTCTCATCCAATTCTGTTTTTGACCAGTTCACCTCAAGTTTGTGAAGCGTATTACCACTGTATGCTAATTTTAAATGACCTGTTATGAGGAACAGAGCAAAACATTTTAGACCCTTCTCCTCAAGGTGTGACCAATGAGCCAACATCTGGAAAGGTGGTAGATATATAACATCGCAGTACCACTCTCTGAACTACTGAGTTAGGTCCTGCATTTTAACAAGATCCCCAGGTGATCTGTGCAGTTGAGAAATACTGCTTGAGAATGTCAGGAAAGAGAGAAATTGATCCCATGAAGAGGACCAGGTTCCACCGAAAATACAGGGGTTTTTTTTGGGGGGTGGGTAGAAAATCATTCTAAGCCCCATGCTATATCTATCTTTTAAGTCTTGAGAGCTTGACCTTTTACAGTTTCCAATTAATACAATTTTCTCTGAATAAAGTAGCCAAAATCTCTGAAGATTAATAGATTTGAGAGAAATTTCCCTAAGGAAATTCTAGGGACTATTTTTGGTTTCACTGGAAGTCCCCTAGGCACTGTCCTTTCTGTAATATTTCCAGTTTTATCTCTCCCTCTATTACCACTATCACTATGACACCGGTATTTTTGAGAGGAAATATGTAGGACTCCTCTCTTTACAATGTATGTATAGGACATTCTGTATCTTGTGCTGTTTTTGCATCTTGTTCATTTGATTCTGCATCTTGTGCTGTTTTACCTAAAAGTGCCAGATGAATCACTGGCCAATTATTGCTACTTACAATTTGGATCTATGAATTACAGATTGTACAGCTAGACAGTTTGCAAGAGTTGAAGGCATTTAGACACAGTGAGGTTTTATGTACTATATTATAGAAGAGGTACCCAGGATTGTAAAAAAAAATAAATAAATAAAAGTTGCAAGAAATGGAGTTAACATAGCAAGAGAGCATCTTTTTGTGGATTCCCTTCATGTACAATTCCTATCTCAGCTGAGGGCACAGCAGTGCAATAATACCTTGCTTTAATGAATGCTGCCATTGGCATGCAATGGTTTGCAAACAAAAGCATTTGACAAAATTTTGCTTCTGTTCACAAACTGCATCAGATGACAGACACTACCATAGCCATCTTTTTCACACAAACAAAAACAGAGCTAAGTTCCACAAATTGTAAAACAAATGAAGTTTATAAACTGAGGTATCACTGTATTTGATGAGTGAATAAGCAAGAAAATAAAGGAGTGACTTCACATTGCTAAACCAATTCATCTTTACTTTGTTCCAATCTCTCTCATCTCTACAGTGTTCAATTCCTAAACTACGTCCTTTTGAGTAGTCCCACACTAGTCAAGGTCTTATGGGACTCCACTACTTATGTTTCTAGATCTCTTCTTCCTCCTCTGCCACCTAAATATAGGTGCTCTGAGACATTAACACTGCTTCCAAAGCCCACATTCTCATTACTTCTCACTTAGTTACTTGGAACAATCTCTAATCTTCCCTTCAAATCAACCAAGACCTGGAATAAAATTCTCAAAGCACAGATCCCACGTTGTCATCCATCACACAGAAAAAACTTTAAAATCTCTTATCTGCCAAATAATAATAAAATCAGTAAGTCTCGCATTTGATTGATCTTTCTATTTACAGTAATTTTCTCCATCCTCCTTCTTCTCCTTCATGCAATTTATTCTTTAGACATTAGGATTGCCTGCTTGGCAATCAGACATCCTCAAGTTTGAGTCTCAGCTCTTCTGGTAACTAACTGTATGACCCTGAGGATTCTCTTAACCTCTGTGCACCTTGGTTTCCTCTGGAAATTAATGATACTACCTAATAGAGCTATTGTAAATAGTAAATATGAAGCACTTAAGTAGTGGCACACTCTCCTAATCTTGTTTTAATTTTTCTTTTAAAACTACTGAAGGATTAGCTGGCCATACACCAAGTCTTAACTAAAAAACTAGCTTCAAAATATCCTGGGAAAGATCTTATAGAACTCACATCATTGTAGTAATAACAGCAACAAAATACTAAGTTTCCATTACTGTGGTAGCTATTTTTTATTACATATTAATTTTGACATTTCAAAGTATCTGTAACAAGAAGGTTTACTCGTTTGAACATAAAATGAAAGGCATTCAAAATAATGGTAATTCTTCAGCAAAACTCTTATAATTTATTCTGGCTATAGAAACCACACCTAACAATGCTTTTCATAATATACTGAGGCTAGGCTAGGGATTTAGCTCAGTAGTTCCCCCGCCTGCCTCACAAATGCAAAGACCCAAGTTCAATCCCTGGTACAAAAACCAAAACAAACAAACAAAAAATACACTGAGGCTTCGGAAAAACAAAGAAATAATAAATCTAGATTTATAATTAGCATTTCAATATTATGTCAATACAATAAATAAAACCAAGAACTCTACAATTAATTTGAATTGGAAAATAGGTTTCATCTTATATTTAAGATCCATTATAATGTTGAGAAGGATTCAAATACTTTATTGAGCCGGGGATTTAGCTCAGTGGTTCCGTCAGCTGCCTTGTGAGTGCAAGGTCCCGTCAAATACTTTATCGCAAGCTTAGAAGCAAATGCTGTGTGAGTCAGCAATGTTTAACAAGAAAAGATTAAACACTGGAACATTTTTCAGCCCTAGGCTGAGAATGGAGGAAGAAGAATAAACACTGTACAACCCATGACAATAAAATTTTATTAAATAATTGTATGATAGTACTGTTCCAAATTTTTAAAATATAAAGTTCTTTGAATCCTTAAAACTATCTTTTCAAAAAGTGCTATCATCATCCTATCATACAAAGATATTAAAGCACAAAGTTACACCCTGCCTTAGCATACGCACATAGTAAGCAGCAGAATTGGTATTCCAACCCACATACTCCAGAATCCATGCTCCTTGTTCAAATCCTAATTGCTACCACAGTAATGGAAATTTACTTCCGTTTTCTCAATTCCAGACATGTAGAGATTGACAGGAAAGGCAGCTCCATGTATCAAGATAAGTACAGTTCAGATCCCATTAAATTAATAGGTTGTTGGCAATAGGAAATCTGAGAATCGAGCCCTCCCTGCAGCCTAGATTCACAGTATTCAGGAACTCTGCAAATCTACTGGCCAAGGACTATGCTAGGGAAGGGCTTTGAAACCATCCTGAATATTCTCCCTGTGAATAAACAAGAGCTCAAGAGATTCCCAAGGACTAAATTTGAAGACCATGTGAATATCCAAATTTGCCAGTACCACTAAAGAAAAATCTTCTTAGTCAATGTGTGTCCAAAGAGACCTCCAAACAAGACTGTAAAATACAAAATTTGCTAGTAGAATAACTGTTCTTGGATGACTTTAATGAATTGAAAAGACTACAGGGATTCAAGAATAAAATGTAGTTAATTCCCAATGGAAATTTTTGTTCTAGAGCTTTATTGGAATAAAACTAATAAATTGGTGTCTGAAATGGCTACAGGAGGCTCTAGGAATAATACAAGTAATAAACGGAAAAGTTACATTAGGATACTTTAATAGAATTAACTGTTAATTGTTGCATATAAAGACAGAGAGGATTGGAATTATTTCTCTTGAGAAAACAAGGCCCAGAGAGAGCAAAGCTCTTTTTACAATATTTGTCATATGTGCTAGTTTTAATTTCAAAGTATGATTACTCCTTGCTTTTATATTGGCCTAGAGGAGCTGGGGATTTAGCTCAGTGGTTCTGCCGCCTGCCTCACAAGCGCAAGGTCCCAAGTTTGATCCCCAGCACTACTCCCCAAAAAAATTATATTGACCTAGAACAGTTAGCAAAGAAGGCCCATTCAGATTAAGAATAAAAATAATATTAAAAATTTCTACAGTGGAGAGGATTTAGCTCAGTGGTGCCATACCTTCCTCACAAGTGCAAGGTCCTGAGTTCGATCCCTGGTACAAAAAAAAAAATCTATAGCTTGACTTTGGGATATGCTGAAGAGGAATTGATTGATTATATTAACAATTTCAGAGCCCTTTTGACCACCTGTAAAACCAGTTAAGGAAAAAAATATCAGGCAGCTACATATAGAAATGGACTTTTAACACTAAATGCTAGAGAAAGAAACATTGCACAAGTACATTTAAAGTGCTGATGCTTACATGTAATGAATTTGAAATGACAGTATTGCCTTTGCTTACCTGAACTTTCGGAAATCTATTTCCCAAAGGCCCTCTATTTTTGAAGGTGAAGAATGTGGCAAGGAGGGACAAAACTTTGAGGCTTAAGAGGATGTCTGGTGCAATTGCTCTGTCCTCTCTACTAGAAATAATCCAAGACCCAGGGTTGTGCTGTATCTTCACTTGCAAATGCTGAAATCAAACACAAAGACAGCATACTTATAAGAATGATTAAGCCACTTAAAAACAATTTAAAGAAATTAAGAATATTAGTGAAAGTTTATTTTAATAAACTCATTTCTAATCTCCTTACAGGATGATGAAATTACCCAAACCAAACCAAACCAAAACAAACAAACAAAAAAATCCATTAGCCAAACTTACAGCACATATTACATTACTGTCATACATGCCTAGTTTGCCAAAGGATCCAGCTCAACCTCCTTGAAAAATATAACACATCCAGCTCGATTAATTCAAAACAAACTGGTAATGAAAGAACCATCTGTCTTATTTTTTGGCTTCTCTCCACACATAACACAGCTTTATTGTTAAATGCAGAGGTGAGAGAAGGACCTTTTACTTTCAGAAATCTAAGAGAAAGCAAAGCGAGAGAAAGAGAGAGGAGAATGAAGAGGTTGAGAAGAGTAAAAATATATAGAAGGAAGTGAGCAGAAAGGAAGCATGGGTAAGTTATTGAGAGAACAATTAGTGTTTGAATGTGCAATGGGCCACTTCCTAGCGGGGGAAAGTTAAAAAGAATTCTCAAACTGTTCCTACTATCACTTTTCTCACACAAGACTCGCCATGACACACTGCATGCATGCTCTCTTCTGAAAGTAGAAGATATTTGTATTTTCAAAAAAATTCTTAGGCCACAAATGTTTTTTAAAATGCAAACAGATGGTGAATATTTTATTTCAGAAGACATTTATGAACTCTAATATCCTAAACAGGGAAATGATTATGTTTGGTTACTATGAAGATCATATAGTAACATGCAAAACATTGATTCCACCAAGTAAGAAAAACAAAACAAAATATTAAATTGAACAGTTTTCTGTGTTAGATGTATGTATGGATGATATTACTGAAAGGCATCAAAGAAAAAACAAAATTGACTGATATGCTAAGTTGTATACTATAGGGATAAAGTGCATACATTTAAAATGTATAGAAAACATAATAAAATTCTTTTACTATTCCTATATATATCATACTTTTAAAGTTCTAAGTACTTGACTCTTTTATAAATTAGAAGAAAAGTGGTCCTCTTTAGGGGATACTATTATACTACAGTAGTCTCTACCATGAGACAGAATTTGAACCTACTGATCATGATAAATTTTACATTTATCACAGTTTTAAAGTTGGAAGAGTCCTTTAGGATTATGTCCAAATAAGTTGGTAAAGAAAACTTAGTATCATACCAGGAAGAGAACAGGAATATAGTTACACCTAGAGAATCCTAAATCAAGGGATGAAACAAGATAGTCTTGTCTCAGGTTTAAGAGCCTTCACGAAGAATTAGCTTGGTTCTGAAGGCTACCATGTGGGTAAGCCAAGCCTATGAATGCAAATGTAAAGGAGGCAGCTTTGAACTCAGTACAAGGAAGAACTTGATATGGTAATATTTATGCTGCCTAGGGAAAATGACAAGTTGTACTGATGGATAGCGGGTCACTCATTACAAAAATATTTGGTTCTAAGTCTCACTTGACGGAGGTTTGCAGAGAAGCTCTTAACAAACTTCAATGACCACTGGCATCACCTAGGGTCTCGTTAGGATCATATTCTGACTCGGCAGGTCTGACTATCTGTATTTTCAGCAAGCTCCCAGGCACTGCTAATGCATGTAGCTGATCTGTGCATGTAGGTTGAACAAGAACACTAGAATGTTATTTAAACTAATGTTTCTCAAGTTACGGTCTTACATATAGTTTTGGAAAGTGTCCGTTCCAGCCTTGATTTTAGGGCAGGTGATTAACAGACAAAGGAGTTATTAACAGGGTTTGTGAGTTCACACATTCCAAGTCTCAAAAAGCATGATATCCTGGTATTTTGGAGTAACCCCAGGATCATAATCTAAGTAATAATTCTAAATAATTCCAAAGCAGGTATGCTTTACTTCCATTCTAAAAAATAGTACTCTTATTCTGAGCCTGGAACATAACTGACCAACAAATAATGACTGAGTGAATTTATGTCTTCAGTATTCTATATCTAACAGAAAGAGGATGTGAAAAAAAAACCCCACAGTGTAAAATTTCCCAGTAATTTCCATTATAAAACTATGTGTCTATAAAGGGATGAGGAAAGTTTCCCAAGGTCAGCAACTGTAGTCTCTGTCAGTATAGAGGTTTACATCATTTCCCTAGCCCTGGCATTTTATCTCCCTACCATCCATCTGGATCAGAATTCCTTCAGCTCTTTGAAAGTTCCCATTTCTAGCTTATGCTCTGCCCCTCAAGTTATCTAACAAATCTCAGCTTTCCATTAGTTCACAATTCGATGTGATAACTTTCCTGGAGAAACATACTGATATTTGAATATGTGAATACTCCAAACTGAAAGCATTGTAATGTTTTTCTCCCAGAGTAAATAATCCTACAAATAGAGGGGAACCAGCTGGGTTGGGGTGTAGCTCAGTGTACAGGCACCTGAATGACATGCACGAGGTCCTAGGTTAAATTCCCAGCAATGCAAAAAAAAAAAAAATAAAAGGAAATCAGCTTCCTGCCTTTCCTTGACCCTGAAAATCTCCCTTCCAAAGGGTTTACTGTTTGCCTTTGCTTATAAATTACAAATAGCATTCCATTTGACTTACCAAAGCTCCCTTTCAAGCTATCCTGTCAGTTTATTCTAAGTAAATCTAGATTATTCTAGCTTTTAAAGTATCATGTCTTGCTTTTTCCTTAACTCTCCTGCTTTTTTTTTTTTTTTTGCTATATGTTTGTGATATATAATAATTATACTCATCTGGAGAACTGATACATTTTTACTCTCTCTGCCCTCCCCTTCCTTTCCAGTTTCCCTTCCCAGATCCATAGAGTCTACTTCCATCTCTTATTTTGCTCAATAAACCGTTTATATTATGGGTTTCTCATATTAGAGAAACCATGCAGTTTAACCTTCTGTGCTTGATAGAAAGAAGTGTATTGAGGTAAACAATCAGATGAGCAGATATCAAACTTAAGACTTTAGTGTTGAAAACTATCCCGCTTTCTACAATAAATAAAATATGTGACAATATTTATACCACTACGTATTAGATGACCTCCTAAAATCAAGTTATATATAAGCAGTGAGTATGAATTTAGGGTATTTTATGATTTATTATCACAAATAAACAAATGCATATGGTATACATATTTTATAAAATCATATAATCTTTACTTTCTAACATCAGGTTAAATCTTAAGGCAAAATACATTTTGTCTTCCCAGTAGTTGGGATTGAACACAGGGTCTTTGCACTAGGCTACATCCCCAGCCCTTTTTCATTTTTGATTTTCAAAAAAAAAAAGGGTCTTCCTAAATCATTAAGTTTCCCAGACTGGGCTTGAATTTGTGATCTTCCTGCCTCAGCCTCCCAAAGTGTTCGGATTTACAGACTTCAGATTCATTTATTTTCTCTTAAACTCTGAACACTGTTTTCACCTTCTAGAGGAACTTTGTTGACTTATTCAACAAAGAGTTTCCTAATGTCTACTTGATGCCAGACACTGTTTAGGCTCTAAGGAAACCATAATGAAGAGGGGGGAAAAAACAGTTTATAATCTGGAAGAGAGTCAGACATTAGCAAGTCATACATGAGCATTTATCCAATTAATTTGTACTATAATTAGGAACTGACATAAGTAGGGAAAGATAAGAAAGAGTGAATTTAATGAAACAGGGCAGAAAAGAACCTTTCAAACAGAGTAAACAGTATTTGTAACAATTCTGAGGTGAGAGTGAAAATGGTAGCCTGGCTAATATGAGGCTTCTGATAGGGTGGTGATGAAAATAAGAAAAGCTAATCTTTGTTGCATGGCTATTTCATTTCAGGCTTCCCATGCATGACTTTATGTTATCCTCAGAACATATTTTCATTCTACAGACAGAGAGAAACAGCTTAGGGAAAATGAATGATTTGTCCATGGTCTCAAGATAAAGGCCCCACATAGGCCTGTACAGGTTGCTGCTGGGTCTACTTCTTGCCTGAAAGCAATTACAACTTCCTAGGAACTAGGGCAATTTGGAGATTTTCTCATGTTCAATATTCAATCTGTTAATTTTCATTTCTCACAGAATGATGCTGTGAAATATTAGGCATATTAAATAGCTTCAGTCTCATTTTCAAAATCTTAGTTATTTCAAAGTCAGTAGTCAGAAATCTACTTAATTAGGAATTATTGCAGTGAATTTTAAAACAAAACTATTCATAAATGTCCAAAAGTTAATACATTAACTCATAAACTCATTAGCCAAAATAACCAAACCTTGGATAATTTTAAAAACAGATTTATATTCTCTTCCCTACCCTCCTACTCTTTTCCCATAAGACAAACACCAACATATATTTGATAACCAGTCTACTTTTTGTTGATTTATAAATACACACATGTAGTCACAAATATTATATAGTATATGTTGTTGTTTCAATTGATATTTTACCACTAATGTAGCAAACACATAATACTCTGAAATTTGTGCTCTTCACTCAATACTTCTGGCTTTAAGGTCTATTCATACATTACATAAAGGACTGGTCATGCATCTTAAATGCTATAGAATATTCTATCAAATAAATATATGAGAATTATCCATTCCTTAGAGTAGACATTTAGATTGTTTTCAGAGATGTGCTTATCTAAATTGTTGTTTTAGAGCCAAATCTCCTTTTCCCAATCTGGTAAAAAAACAGTTGGCTAAGCCACAAAATCCTTAATAAAGCTAGAACTACTTTTAAGATTGAAATTTTACTTTAAATTTTTTTTTTCTAAAACATAAACCATAAGAATACCCAGATATTTAAAATACTATGAATCTAGTAAAGGGAAAGCTACCATTTAAAATGAGAAAATAAAAGTTCTAGTTTATGTGAATGTATAATTCTGTTGAAACAAATATACTGAAGAGAAAATGAATGCAGAAAATATACTCACTACAACCACTTGCTCCTCAACAAAACTGAGTAGGAGAATCAGA